TTCGTCTTCTGAGCTGATGGGCGGTAAATCCCAATACATAGCCAGGACAACACACTGGAGCAGCACCCACAGCAGACACATGAAGATCTGAGAGTTTCAAGACACCAGAATCCTAAAAAGCTATAAGGAGAAACTCTAAATGAATTCTCCTGATAGAGTTAAAGTCAGGAGTTTAACCAGGCCGGTGAAATCAAGAGAGACATGCAATGTCAAATTATGTGGGAAAATGAAAGTAGGTATAGAAGAGCTTTCTTATATCTAATTTAAGCCACATTTGTGCTGCAGGTTTTATTCAAAGACTTGTGAGATGGAAATAGATCAATATGGGTTGTTACAGGCCTCAGTATGTTTTGTATTTGTATGGTGTTTTGTATTATTTCAGAGGAGCAGAAAGAAGAAAACAATATATATGAGGCAGGAGGATTGCAGAATGCAGAGAAACTATTTCTGAGGAATGCTTTTGTATTCATGAGGCTTATGGAGAACCTTAGATTACTGATTATCTGGATGCTGTTACCCCAGGAGACGTATACTTGTTCACAACAAAGGGCCCCAGTTTGAAATCACACAGCCGCAGGAACAGGTTGAACGCTGGCCCTGGAGAGACAGGATGAAGTGCTTTAAAGAGGAAATGGAATAAAAACAGGGCATGTGCGGAAGCAGTATAGCCTCCACCTCTACGATTTTATCGAACATCCCCTACTCTCAGTTGAAACTGCACATCAAAGCACAAAATCCTTTCGTCTAGGAAGACAGGGGAGGTGGAGAGAGGTGAAATGACACCTCTCTCTGTGGTATGATGAAGGGAGGTGGGGGGGACTGACCGACAAGGAGGCCAGCTTGTCGACAGGCCATGATTGCAGCGAAGATACCGGCACGCTCCTCTGGCCTAGTGCTTTGAGTCAGGAAACCAAAGATGGAGGAGCCCGCTCCTGCTCCGACACCTGAAAGGAAAACAGCTTCTGCTATCAAAAAGTCGACATTTTGCTGATACGTGTGTGTGTGCATGCGTGCGTGTAGGGATGTGCATCACCTGCCACAAGCCGACTGCATAACAAAAGCCACTTTGAATATCCAATAAAATACATGAAGTTACCTGGGGACAGAAAATATGAAAAAAACATCTTCACTTGAGACTCAATGTTGTTTCCAAAAATTTGCTTCAGCCATGCTGGCAGAAGAAGCTAAATAATGAACGAGCTCCACCACTTTTGGATGAGCTAGCCTTCAAATTTTGGACAGACCTTCATGGTGCTCAAATATAAATCCACAAGTCCTAATGACTTTGGTAGTCCCTGGTTTCTGCTCTAGGGCTGCCAGCAGATTAATATTTATAATTTTGCATAAAAGTTAGTTGTGAAACCTTAACTTATGGTACTATCATTAGGTCAATATTGAATTTTGCCCAACATTTTAGTTGTTAATGCTAAAAAGAAAATGTTAGTATTTTACATATGCAAAGATAAGAAGTGAACATGGTAATAACTACATTAGACACATTGACTATAAGTAATTAAGCATTACAGCTTTTAACTATTATCAAGTAGTAGTAGTATTCGTGGTAGTGGTAATAGTAGTATTAGCTAAATGTTTAGTTACCACTGTTGTTGTTGCCTTTTTCTCTTGTTTCTACCTTTACAGTTTTTGTCATTTTTGCTACCAGGGTTTTGCTTCAATATTTAATCACCCATGCAACCCACATGATGAGTTCAAAATATTTCCATAATGCATTGTAAAAACTAGTCTATAATTAATGGTCATTAACCGAGGAGTGACTTTAATCATGCACTGTGCAGACAGTGGTTAAGCCAATTTAAATTGCTGCTAAATGAAAATAATGACCTAAGACATTTTTGAGCCGACCATCTAAAGCTCTTTATAGCTGTTTAGATAGAAACCACATTATAGTGTGTGGTGAATGATAATCAAGAGAGAGCACAAATACTGTATGTGTTACGGAGTCTCACAACAACTGAACAAACAATCTCCGTCATGTGATTTGTCTTATGGTGTGACTACTCACCGGCAATCTCAAAAAGATTGGAAAAAAGGATGATGGACTTGGTATTTTTCCACCGATCTGACCAGAACCCAAAAAGCGGGCCTGTGAGCAGTCCACTCAAACTGAAAGCAGACAGACCCAGACCCAGAAAGTAGGGGGGGGCCTCCAAAAGCTGCAGGTACCTCCATATCGTAGGCAGAATGACAGCTGGCACAGACAAATAGAGGATGAGCATAAGAGGAGGGAGATGTGTAAATGACAAGCTTCATTTACCCAGAGAAAAATATATTTGAATTTACATCAGATGTCATGTCCTCTTTGATATGAGCTTACAACCAAAATGCCAAGCCATTTCAGATTGCTTCAATCAGACCATTATCTTGTGTCCATAATAAACTTACCGTACTCAATGCCGCTCAGCATGAATATCAGTCCAATGGTAAAAAACGTTTGATTCCTCTTACGGTGATTATCCATTGTGCCCAGTGGTTTGCAACCTTTTAAACACTGAACCCTGTCTGTACATAGTCAGAAATGTTCTTCAGACACATAATTAGAAAAGAGGAGACAGTGTGGGTCCAATTACAGCTGCTGGCCGCGGATAATCACAGGAATTTGTCGTGCCATTGTAGAAGGCCAAATTCAGAACCTCGCACAGAGAGTAAACAGAGGACAGATAGTGGAGTCTCAGCAGGAGGGAGACCAGAAACAAAGCACAGAGCACATCGAAACAGCGCTGGAGACAGTGCAGTCCACTTTAAATCATGCAGCAGTGCATTTCCATCATCAATGTTAAAGATGAAAGTCCATTAGTAGTCACGTCCGTAGTCCAGCAGTCCAGCACCACGCAGTCACTGTCACGGACGAGCCAATGTCTCAGGTTACCAGGTGAGGTAAAGTAAACTGAGCTTCATTCATTTTTAATCTTGTTTTCTTCAGTTTCATCAGAAACACTTGAGTCTCACACAACCCTTTGAAGGAATCTGTCAGGCCTGTATCTTCACATTTGTAGGTTGTAGACATGAACAACGTTACTGTTTTCACAGAATATTTTCAGTTCACAAACACAATAAATAACAAATAGTTATGAAGCCAAACAGACAATAAATTATATCGGATGAAGCATGATTGCATTACATGGAGATGAACCACTAGATTGTGCTATGATAGAATACATTGGAAATAACACTGTATTATATTTAATACTGAATAAATTAGATATGACACACTGTCTGTTTTATTGAATGACTGGCTCCATTTCCAAGCTGCTGTGGTGTTCCTACCCTTGGGCTTGTTATGTTAAACAGAACTGTCACCAATTTAATATCGCCACATGTTTTTTCCAGCACCACATGAATAATACAAAGACTTTCAGTTGTTTGAATACCATATAAAAAACCCGCTCACCATCTTGCATGTGTCAAGGCAGTCTGACAGGTTTCAAGATCAACAGCCCGACGTCGTAATGAGATGTCGCAGGTCACGTGTGTTTGGGTTTGTTTTTTTTGTCTCTGTGTGCAAAGATGGTGGATTAAGTCTCCACCCTTTCCTGCTCTGCTCATTCTGTGCAAAAAAGTTAATCATCACGGGGGGATTCAGCTTTTCCATGACAAACTGCCTCATGCAGCTGAGCCTTACGGGCCCACTGAGAGGCCATTAGAATCCTACCTGCCTTACCTGTGGTGGTTTCTATGGAAACACACATGAGGGTGGAAGGTGCTGTTGCGCTCACCTTTGAGCCTTGGTAAACAACAGGGAGTTCCCCAGTGTATAAATTGAAATCTAGTCCACCCAGTCATTCGCTGCGCTGCACTGGAGCTTGTTGAAGATGATGAGTGAGGAGAACGACATTTGACTTTCAGATAGACAGGAGCTCGTTCGGTTGCCTGTACGTACTTGGGGCTGGGAGGTGGCTGAGTTATAGGAGTGAGCATGTTCTTGAACACAGCTTCTCCCCGGAGATCGTTCAACATCCCCATTAACATCAACCTGCAGGGTGCTCGAAGGCGGCAGACACGGTAAGAAAGGACAATCGACTGGGCCGGTGAGCAAGACTTTCAAAACACTGCCAGGACTTTATTATGAGGAAAAAACACCGGTGAAGTGTAACAGAGTTACACATTCAGGCTTCTGACTCTTGGGCAAATATGAGCATGTATGAATACACACACTGAATTTGATTGTTAATATTAATATTGGATTCCACTGATTCTACGCATTTACTTGTCATGGAGAACATTAGGTGTTGTGCATCCTCTGTGGCCCTCGAGAAACATTTCACGGAAAAATATCCTAAATGATGTCATCAGGTTTATCACTTAAAGTAGGGTAGGGGAACAATTTATCATCAAGGGCCATTTTAACAAGTTTTAAAACATCCTTCAAGGGTCATACTAAATTACTGAACACATAAATCACACTATCACACTGACTAGTCATAAATCCTGCCTCCTCAATGTTTGTGAATAGAATATGATTAATGCTCAAGTACGGTTTTAGTTCTTTATTTCATGCTGTAAAAACGAGTTTTGGACGGGTGATTGGATGAGCGCATATATCAACTGGGCCTCCTCTATAGGGCAGTACTGCGACTCTTTCATATCCTGGACATTTTAGCTTCATTTCTGGACCGTGGGAGGAAGTGAAGAGGCGTTGTCCATCTTTATATAAAGTATTGGTCTTGAGCAGGACTCAGCTTTCACAAGACTAAGTTTTGGAAAAAACCTCACACAGCAGCAGGTTGCCCCAAACAGGGAAGCTTCAAACTTCCATGCTCTGTACGGATGTGACACTCTGTCAGTCACTCTTCAAACTGGATCTGATGGACCAGCAGACTTGAGAGTATTTGACCTTTTTTGTCTTATGCCTGGCCTTAGGAGTATTCTACAGACGAGGGTTATGACCAGAAAGAAAAAACTGAGAGGACTATTTTTTCCATTTTGCAGTTGGAGAATAAAGTTTAAAGAATATATTCAACTCCCCTTGTCTGATTAGGAGTGACTGACAGCTATGTGAGCTACATCCTTGGGGTGATTGGTGTAACCATTGATATCTTTATAAATAAGACCACCTCTTCCAAGCTGCAACACAAGCTGCTTTCAGTTTAAACTTGAAAATTAATGTTAGTCTTTTAACTAGAGCTTACACATTTATTTAAAAAAATTTACTAAATCTCTCAGTATACTTTTTGTATTTTCTTTTGTATTTTCTTCTTTATACAGTTTCAGAGAAAATGATCAATTCACGAGGCGAACATGAGAGTTGTAAATGCATCGAATGAAATTGTAATCAACCCATGTGTCTGGCCTATCTGGATTAAATAAAGTCAACTTCAACTTAAACTTGATGCATGTATTTGCATGTATGTGTGTGTGTGTGTCTTTGTGTATGAGAGACACAGGGAGGTCCCACACACCTCTGCAGTGGAGGAGCAGGAGTGGAGTCGAGGAGTGGATGGACACGGAGAGCAGAGAGTTCGGTCCCAGATGTCGGTGTCGAGTGTTGGGGAGGACAGAGCCATCCTGCTGGGCTTCGCCATGATGGCCTTCTCCGTGCTCATGTTCTTTGTGGTCGGCATCACCATGGTCAAACCCTTTGTCAACAGGTACACTGCAGTCTGTCATCTGTGTTAGAAAGAAAGTCATATGGTAGACAGCACAATGAGTTTTATTTGATTTTGAACAGTATTAGAAATGTAAGACTATATTTTGTTCTAAATTACAAAACAAATACATTATGGAAATGAATAGATTATTTCATATTTAGCTATTGATTAGATTGTAAAACAGCTTTTTTATGATGATTGTCTTCTGAAAAAGTACTGCACTAAGTCAAATTTATACTTTATAAGTCAAATTGTAGGTATTTAGAAAAAAAACATCTACTGTACATCAACAATCATCAAGGAACATCAACAGAGAAAGTGCAAACTAGGTTATGGAAGCCGAATGCCATAAAGAAAAGACAGAACATATTAATTCTGCTATTATGCTATGGAAATAAAAATTATATATTTTTTATCATACATACGCACATCTTCCATAAAACGTGCAACATCAATTATTACGAAGATTGTCAGACCATGTCCCAAATCCATGCTTCCATGATACCATGTAGGTAAGTTGTATTTTTTGTGTTCACACTAGAAAGGTGACACCTACACTCGGAAATGATTTGATTATTGATGTACGTGATTCTCCCTCAAGGTGATGGAAAGGAAAAAGTAAATGGATAATATAGTAAAATGTAATTAGATTACATGCTGACAAGCTCTCAATGTCAAAGGTAACATGAAAATATTTGCCATGTTCACCATGAGTGTTGAGGGCTAATGCTAACATTTTGTTCAGCACAAATTAAGATGAGGCTGATGGGAAATTCCTTTGTGTTACAGGTATTTCATCATTGACTAAAATACCGAACATATTTAAATGTTGATATAATGATGGTCGTTGCTTGTGCAAGTCAGTGTTTGTGTCAGTTTATCGATGTTGAGATATTTCACAAGGTATGGGACAACTTTGACCTAATGGTGGCGCTAGATGTAAAGTCAGTGGATTGCCAAAGCTAGGTGTCATCCTCTGGGCACAATGAGTGTCAGCACTCAATGTCACAACGATTCATCCAAAGCTGTTGAAGTATTTCAGTCGTGACCACAGCGATGACTTGACTGACGGACAGACTGACATTGCCATTCTTCCAGCCTAGAGCATAGTTAAAGCATAAAATAAATCCACAGCACACAGCAGAGAAAGAAACAGTGGCTTCCTCATTTAAGTGTGCATGTTTTGTGGATGTGCATCCTAAACATTTCCTGGCTCTTGTTTTCCAGTGACTGGGGGGAGGCCAGCTGTGCGCTGATGCAGGCCGACATCCTAACAGAGTGGGTGGACTGCAGAGGTGTGAGCACCGTGCCATGCCTCAGGGTGATGGTTAACCTCACGGGCTCCAATCAAAGTGCTTTTCTACACTTAGACGAAGAATCGGTCCTCCTCGCTCCTGAGGTACTATGGTAAAGTCCGGCTCGTAGGTCTCACCTCTAGTTTCATGAGCCTCTTGTTTGGATGTGCGTCTCACCAGGTCAGGCTTGTCAACTGCAGGAAAGAACACCTGCAAATTTGCCTGGAGGTGGATCTAAGCAGGGGGAGATATAGGGCTTTTTCTGTTTCTCCCTTTCCTCTTTGTGGAGTATTCATAAGTTCTTCAGAGTTAAAAAGCCAAAAGGACCGAGGCTGAGCGCTCAATGCACTAAAAATTAAGAAAACACATGCAAATAGAAGAAACACAGGCAAATGAGACAGGAGCCAAAATAAGCGTTTCAGACAGAGGCTGAAAAGAGAAGCAGCAGAAATGGACAGTGTGAGTTAAGTAAAAACCCCAATTAAAATTAAAATCTGAATATGAGCAAAATGTGTCTAAGTTTGTGTTTTTCATGTATGCACTGCAACTGCCATATCAGACCATTCTGTTTTGTGGACAGTAATTTTGCTTGTCAGGATTCAGAGTAGTGTTCATGTTAGCCATTCAAGCAGGGACTAAAATACACATAAGAAAGCAGCAAAGAAAAAAGCTAAACTAACAGACAGGACAGAAAACTATCACCCTGATTCCTGTGTTCGTCTGAATAAGTGATGCCCCTCTTCAGTCCCACTCACTGAGACTGCATGAAACAATCTGACATATCTGTGCTGCAAATGGAGGCCAAAAAGGGCTTTCCCTTTTTTGACCTTGTAGCTCGTCTCACTGATTGCAATCAGCACTGCCAACAGCGACAAGCAGCTCGATGATAGAAATGACACTTCTTGAATCATATCTTTTCTTTCACAGTGTTTCTACATACCCAAATGTCAGATGGACAGAACAGATCTTGAAGCTGAAGTCCAGAGAGTGAAACGGATGTTGGACGCTCAGCAGGGGAGCACGTCGTCATGCTTCATCGACCGCACGAGACACCCCAGGGAAGTGATCTTGAGCAAGAAGTACACGCTGGAGAAGGCCCTGTTTGCTCTGCTGTGGCCCTGTCTGATGCTGGGCGGTGGAGCTCTGCTGGTGGGCCTGGTGAAGCTGACACAGTACCTGGCTCATCTGGCCGCTGAGGTGTGCAGTGGTGCTGCAGGGGGCAGCCTGACGTCAAGATACAGCCAGGGCAAACTGTACAGACTCCTACGGAGGTCCAGCGTGCCATTTTGAAACAGTCTGTGTTTACGCTTCCGATAACTGTAACCACAAGCCAAAAACACAGTTTGTTGTCAGGTAACTGGTACAGAGAGAAGCAGGGCTGGTATAGAAACATGCCCAGAGTAGATTTAATTTAGCTCTTTTAGTTACAAATAAGTGGAATGAATAAAAAACATTAAAGTCAGGTTTACCAAGTTGTTTCTGAAACACTTTTGATCTCATGTGTTGAAATCTTTTTCATGTTCCAATAGCCATTAATAAATAAAGTTGTCAGAAAAGAACATGAACAAAGTCGGTGTCAGTGGCCCTCGCAGGACTTTAATTAACACAAACACACCTTGTGTTACTTTCCATCAAGAAACTACACGGGATGAACAGATTACATTAGTCCACAGCAATTCAATCAATTCTCTGATTTGGCTTAAGGAGACTGTAATGACACCATGGTTTGAGGACTCCCATTCTGCCACAAGTTTATTTATTTTAGAGGTGTGGTTGACGACTAGAACGTCTACACGTTTGTATGATGTGGCTGAGAGGGTGGGGGAGGTATACCTTTTGCCTGGGGGGGGGGGACACTCCTTCTTGCCAGACCACTGTCGCCTCCTCGTGACCTGTAGTCGCCAGGCCACAGTAGCTGCAACACACCTGAACCTGTGGCTGAACTGTAAAGAGCATCTCCCACACATGCAGAGTCGTGTCGTTTCTCGAGGAAGATTGAGAGAAAAATGTATTTTAAACACAAAAATACAAAGATTGTTCATGTACTGATTCAAGCCCTGTCCCATATTGTTTTTCATTTTTATTATGAAGCAGAAACGAAGTGAATATCCTTGTAAATAACATCATTTGATATGTGTCAGACATTGTAATAAAATAACCTATTACGATAGGGAGAAATGTATTTATTCAACAACACAATAAATGAATGCATACAGTTCATTATCAGACATGGTCATATGATGACTAAAACAAATATTTGAAGGTTTTTTAATGATATATACAGATGGACAGATAACTGAATCTGGTTCTTTTTTAAAAAACATGCAGGGCAGCGTCTTCAACCGTATAGTACTCACAGGGCAAGAGATCTCCACGGGACATTATGATATCACTCTGACAACTGCATCAAGTCCTCGTCCTTCATTCAAGAATTCAACTCTGCTTTTTCATTCATATGGTTTCAACAACTCGAGGCCGTCTACTGGGTTTCGTATGAGGATGGTGCATGTTATGCATGATTGCTTTTTTTGGTTAGCAGTTACATATATGAGTTTGCTTTACAGTTAAAAATACAAAAATATATTACCTCTGTAATTATTCAAGGAAAGCATTTGCACATGTAGTAGCAGTATCAGTATCTGTTACCTTCATTGTGACTTTGTTGTACCCCCACACAAGTAACAAGGTCATTTCTATACATGAAATTCAAGTAAACAACATCAGGTCAAACAAAAGGAAAAGTAGATATTCAAGGACCTCATGCATGAAGTGTGAGAAACAGAAAAACAACCATATCATGTGGATGTATAAAGGGAAATAGCATAATTTAGTTAGTTCTTCCATGAAGAACATGTGGACTAGCTTTCTCAGTTTGGGTCCGGCCCACTGCTCTGTATCCCGTACAGAACCACATGCATCTCGTCAGGATCGGTTTCCTGGGCATTTTTTTTTTTTTTAAACCAAGAACAGAATCTAAACAAAAATTGACTTTCAGACAGACTCCTTTCCAGGAAACCGCCCTGTTGGGTATCTTTTGGTAAAGCTAGAACATTTACTGACCTCTTACGTATGTGTCTGTGCGGCGAACAAAACTGCAAAGACTTTTCTTCCGCACATGAGGGCGACAATCATTGGAGAGAGTAGGGAAGAAGACACTTGGAAGGTTTCAATTAAAATAATTCACTTAAGTTACTTTTTTTAACCTGGACGTCATGACCTGGGTCTTTATGGCAAATGTGAGCAGAGAGTCTGTCTTAAATTATCTTCCGTAAGAGGGTTGAGGAGACGGGAGCAAAACTCAACATCCTAAATATTTTACAGATGGCTTAGATGGAGCTCCACACAGGAGGAGGGGGAAAGGCAGGGTCCGAAGGCGTATCTCATTGTTCTTACTGTTGGGAAGAAGTAAACAATATTGTTTTTCTTCCATGCACAGTCTGTACATAGTTCGGACACACTCGTTTGTGTGAGTGTGTCTCGCGTTCCCCTCTCTGCCTGACTCTGACATCAAGTTCTTTTTTTCCTCACCATACAGTACATATAAAGATCACAACTTGCATAGTGTAACAGCACAGCACACAAAATGAATGTTATGCATCCTTCTCTCTTGCGTTTCTCGCCTTCATCAGCTGAACAACAAAAGACCAATTCATAACGCGTGATACAGCTGGCCATCAGGAAGCAGTTCTGCAGTCCCTCGATGTTCTGTAAAGAAGATCGATGACCAACATTTGTGCCTCAACGTCACCTGACACAGAATAATACTGATAGACAAAACAAAACAAATACTGCAGAGATCAGTGCGATGAGTACACGAGACTTGGAATAGTACTGACTATTTTCTTTTACAATAAGACTGCGGAGTAGTGGGGTTACGTAGTACTTTGGCTCAGTAGAAAATAGACTCAAAAAGGAATATGTGCACTGAATGCAGACAAGTCTATGAATATTTCTCTGTACAAAGGTCAGGTATTTTGTGGTGGTGGGATTTCTACACAGTGGACACGTCGTCTGGGGGCATGAAATAAATCATGGTTTCAGTTGCTGTGAAAGTGTTAAATGCTAGCTAAGTGTTTTCAACACGTCCTTTGTCAGTCTTGTAATTATAGTGTTTGTTTTTATTATTGTAGGGACTTTGTTTGGGCACCTGTGAGGCTGCGTTCACAGCATCTCAGCTGTCCTGGCTTGTGTCCGCCAACATCTCGCCCATCTTCATCGTCGGAATAGATAGTGGAAATCAACAGTAAGTTTATCCATAGAAAAAGCCTGCTGTGCTCATAGTGTACCACTTCAAAATGTTCCTTTCTTAATGCTGATGGTTGTCGTATTGAAAGAAGTTTTTAAAAATATGAAAAATAAAAATTTGTCCCAAGTTCTGTTTGGGTGAAGAAGGTCAATGTAGTCCAGGTCCATCACACTTTGAGTTTCTATGGAAAAGACAGATGAATATAACTCCACCCTGCCTTGTTGAGTTCATAGTGCAGGGCAAGACATTCAGACACCTAAAGAAATAAGAGCAATTAGGCATCATGTCCCTGAAAGTGGCCCTTCTGAGCACCCTTAGTTTGTGGTGCATGGGCACATGATGTTTCAGAGTCAAATGCTGGCGGTAATATTAACCAGGCCTTCGTGGAGTTGGGCAAATACTTATTTTTGCTTCTCCCTTCTCTTTTGGTTTTTAGTGTGCTGTTGTTGCCACAGTCCTTTACTCCTCGCTTTGCGTACTTGCCATTTTAGTTCATGGCATGCTGGCGGATCGTGTGAAAGATCCAGTCCATCTTGGTAGTCCAGCCGCCATGGTGAGCGTCGTTCATCTGCTTCATGAAGTAGTCCAGGGCTTCCTGCTCCGACTTGTCCAGGGCCAGGGTCTTCCTGATGTAGGCGATGTCATCGAATGACTGCAGCTCAGGCATCCCAGAGCCCAGCATCATAGAGAAGAGGTTGATGAAGAGGTTGGCGTGTTGTCGGATCGCCAGGTACGCTTTGTAACACATTTCCTGGAACCTGAGGGGTAGAAGGAAAATGTTACCTATGTAGTGGAAGAAATAAATGTGGGGACAGACAAAACAACACAGACCAGTGGGGTCAAGTGTGAAATTCAGCCACAAAGAGGAGATGGAAGCTCAATCTCATGCTGTAAATATACTGCAACCTTTTTCTTTCATCCAAAGATAACAAACTCATGTACTCTGCTGCCGTTACCTTTCGAACTCCCTTGTTTTGGTACACTCTTGAGTTCCTTTGCTAATAACGATTAAGAAGTCCTGTGTAAGCACAAAAGGCACACGCTCCCTCTTGTACCCAAACTTCTTCTTTTTGTGGTCGAGGAAATGGCCAAAGTCTATGTGAAACAGCTGTGAAAATAGAAGAAAAAACACAAAATTCAATCAAACACTTAAGGAAAAGTATGTAAAAACAGAAAGTACGTACGTGTATATATAACATAGAAATGTTAAATGTAATCTTTACCTGTCCATCATCTTTGACCATGATGTTGCTATTGTGTCTGTCTCCTATGCCCAGGATAAATGTGGCTACACAGTAGCCTGCACATGATCGTGTGAACAGATCTATGGCCTGGTCGTACCTGAGAGATCAAGAAAACAGAGAATACTTGTGTCTCAGAGAGGATCCAGTAACTGTGTGGTCACCTCTTCATCCTACAGCTGTATAAATCACTGTTGTTGCCACTCACATCTCTCCCTTGTTCTTGTCCTTGAGCCACTGGTGCAGTGTGTGGCTGTTGAACTGCAGCGCCCCCTTTAGGCCTCCTTTACACTGGATCTGCATGATGGTGTGCGAGCTCCTCACCACCTCGATCAACCCCACACAGTCGCCGATTGACAGGCAGCCGTACGGCAGCATTCTGTGAACACAAGCATAGAAAACATCCAGAGAGGCAGATAAAAAAAAATGATGGGCTTTATATGAAATGACCTGAAGTGGCTGGCGGGATTTGACACTAATCTGCATTCAAGCGCTGAGTGCAGAACATGAAAGGTCCGGTGCTGTTGAAGTGTACCTGCATCGTTGATGTTACAGTGAAGTGAGGAGCCTACCTGAGATCAAGGCCTTGGTTCTGCCAGATGTTCTCCATTATC